AACTGAAGCGGACTGCTTCACTTTTGTATAATACACTATTCAACAGAGTCCAAATGTTTTTCCTTTATACATCTACCTATTCTAATATATCTTATTATGAGTAATTCTATCTGCTGAAACATAGATAATATTCACTACCATGTTACCGGACTGTATATGGTGGTGGTGATAAGTGGTGATCATGAAATACGCTATTGGAAATCTTTATACGTGGTGAACTAAGGAGTAATTCCGTTGACATATAAACAAATTGAATGAAAAATATTGAACTTCAGCGACCTAATTAAAATAATTGAGTTTCGTGCATACAATAAAATACATTTCTGTCATCTAACACAATAAAAATCATAAAACATTAAAAAAAATCTCTACAATTTTGAAAACTGTATTTTTTTTTAATTATTTAGATGATTCTGTATTCATTGGTATAGGTATCGGCTTTTATACTTTATATCGCTGTAATGGAACGGTTTCCTCATGGGTGTGTAGGTACACTCTTGTCGAAGCACGCAAGCGCCGTTATGTCCATTTTAATGTCGACACTTATCCTGTACAATGCTATAAAACAAATGTTTTAACTTTTATCGCTGTTTCTTCGGCGCGACGACATATTTTTATATAGTAAACTGTGTAAAGAAGTTTAATAAACAACTGCAATTAATAAAATAATAATCGACAATGAAGCCAACGTAGGAACACACTATTTATAAAGGTTGCTGAAATTTATTAGATACCACGAGATATGAGGGCCCTAAACGTCGAAAAATTCGTGCCTTTTTACCTATGTATAAGGAAACTACGTTAGAATCATACATGTAGGTACTTACGTTCTAAAAAGGTAACCTTCCTATCACTACATGGCAAAAATACGTGTACAGTATATCTGGGATATATATTTTTTTTTTATATTTATTAATACCATTTTTCTACATTTGCTATACTTATAGGTACATAACGATATGGATTGGAATTTTATTGAGATATTTTTACAACGTACAAATATTGAATATGTGAGTATTTCGACAAATATAAAACTGTATAATCATAGCGTAATATCGGTCTAGGACTCCGTACTTCTCAGTTTGCACTCACGAATTCGTACGGCCTGTTTTATTGTGGGTTATAAATCTATACCCGTGCCCCGTACACAATAAAACTCCTTTAACCTTTTGAAAGTCTATAAATGTGAAATAATTTTTCAGTGCTAAATTCCTTGCTCCTTTTCTATTATACATTTATCATATTGATTAAGGTAAAATTTAAAGAATTAAAATGGTACGTTGTATAATATATTCAGGACAACAGTTTGTAGCTAGTATGTAATTTAGAAAAGAATATTTTTTTAATCTTTAAATGGTATGAAATAAAGTTCGCTTATATAGCAGCCCAAACGTCCTAATATTATAGTATATCATATGTATATGTACGTATATTGTACAACTCGTGCTCTGTCGGAACGGGCTGCTAGTAATTTACAAAATGAGATACTGCTTCAGTGATACGATCCGCGGAAACTGTGGCTACATCATGAAATTTTGTACGAGGATTCCTTATGCAACATAAGCGTGTGTTTAGAATTATTATGTTCCTTAATTTACCTTTAGCGAAAACAGTAATTTATACTTTCCAGTCTCTGCTCCAAATCGAATAACAATATTATGATTCTTGGTTCATTGTATGGAATATTCGTTTAAAATATAACACTTATAGCAACTCACTCTACCATTTTAACATCACAGTGTTATAAATGTTTGAAATTAAATTGCAATTATTAGGTACCTACATAACAATATAATAATATATGATAAGTAAATTATTTTCGCTTAGTTAAAATCATGATCATATCATTATAGTGAATGGGTAATCACATATTTGATCCAGTGATGATGAATGCCCACAGGCGTAAACTCTGTAATAAGTCATTTGAGTGGATACCCAATTCTCATTTATTTCTGCCTCCATGCAGCTTGCTTTGTGGACTCTGTTTCGGTTGTAGACTAAGATTAGATAGTGAAATTGTAGGACAAGAGGCGTTAGTACACCTCAGTGCGCTGCTATTGCAACGCATGAGTATCACAGATGTCACATGATAATGTAATCTCTGTAGCGCTGGTCATGTACGTATATGTGTGTATCTATATAGGTGTCGATTAACGCTCACCGTCGGTGAGCCGTTAGCTAATTTATCATTCCAATTACGTAGAAAAGCAAATTTTGTGTGTTTATAGAAGAGTGTCTACGAGGGTAATCGGGAATAATAATAAAAAAGGAAGCATTTCTTATAACCAGTTTTACTTGTCTTTCAGTTTACAGATACAGATCTAAAACCTATTTATTTTCTGAACAAGAAAACACTTAATTAGTGTGTTAATCCTTTTCCTTCTATAAAGAATTCAGTAACTTTGACGTTACATAACAAGTAAATAAAAACATAATTAATATTTACACTTAAACGAAAATCATCCATCACTCCGGATAGGGCTCGCATGGAAGAAACGAGATAATATCCTCGCTTAGGCGCATAAACGACAGAGAACTCGGTATTTGGTATTCCAATTTCATATCTACAAGAGATTTTGTAGCAATTTGTAGTGTAGCCTGTGCTTATCTAAGCCATGTCCTGTACCTAAATTTCTAATTTGCGGTCTATGTTCGTATGTAAGTCCGGTAGGCACTCTCCACGAACGCCTTGTAGGAGTTAATCTCTCAGTAGGATTTCAAAACAATCATGCGTTATTCCCAAATTTCTACTCACTCAAATGTAATACAGGTATACATAAAAATGTTATGACTTTGTTGCAGAAGCAGTTCATACCAGATCATGCCACGAATAATATTTGAATTCAATATTTTACCTATTTTTATGATAATTACTAATTGTAAGCAGTTAAAAACAATGGAACGAAACATAAAAATAGAATTGTTTGTTCTACAAACCTACTTTATTTATTACCATATGCGTGCGTGACACTCCGAGGATAGGTAAAAATGTATTGTTGAATTTTTATCAATGGGCATTATAAAAATTACAATAATATTATAAAAAAAATTGAGACATTTCCGAATTCATGTAAAGATATAATTGATTATAGGTATATATAGTATAATCAATTGTAATTTTACATAAAGTCGACTTCTTTAATACTTTGTTTATGAATTTGAATTTAAATATGTCTTTTAATCACTATATGTTACAAATAATGTATATTCTATATATATATATATATATATATATATAAAATATCAAGACAGTGCATAATAAGAGGCCAGAATAGAAAAAAAATCGTTTGACGAGCTGTGAGCCGGATTTGTTTTCTCTTAAAATTAAAGGGGATTTTGTGCTGAACGAACGGAAATTTACTGTATTTGTATTTGAAAATAGGCTATTTATAGAAGGAAAAAATTAAAGCTTGTTTTTTATTTTTGTAAGTTTGGACAATGAACCGCATTATAGAAAAAATATGCATTTTTGTAAAAAAAACGCTGCCTAATAAAAGACATCGAAGTAGAAACATACGATATCAATAATATGTTGGGAATTGATTATGTTCTATAAACATTCTTTATGCACTAAATAAATATATATATATATATATGTACTAAATAAATTAGTACATATAAATACATATATCAAAACCTGAATTTCGGGGGGTATTTAATATATGTAATGTAAACAAGAAATATATCGAAAACTTAAAAAAACGATGTAATACCTCAAACAGATATATATAGACATTTAAATTATCGAATAATAAAGCGAAACGAATATATGTCAACTACAAGTAGGTATACCTTCTTTTAATTTAAATTTACTTACATAGGTACTTCGATTAAAATATTTGTTATAAAATTCCATTTTGTGGAAAAAATTGTCATAGTTGGTGTACTATATTTTATGCGATTCACTATATTTCGACATTAATAATTCACACATATATAGAAGTCAACAAATTAAAACTTTTCCAATGTACATTAACTCGCATGTTCATCAAAACAGTTTGACTAGTATATAATTTAACCAAACCATACAAATGTAGTAGATATAGATCGTATTCCGATTGTGAAAAGAATGAGATATTTCCAATGCCCATTACTCTTTTCTAGAAATTGATGCTTATTTTATTAAATTGTTCAAAGTTATGCAGAGAGATTCTTAGCATACTAGTTTTAAGAGATTCTGGAAATATTTTATGTTTTTATCTGCTTATATCAATCTATGCGAATCAATTCAATCAAACTGATCAAAATAATATAACAATCAGATTAGACCATAAATTTTCAGTAATGCTGAGACATGAATAGCACGACATCACAAACTAGATACTTTATAGTCTGTTCACATATTTAATAATGTATTGAAAACACATCTAGAAATAAGTGTTCCATTGACATTAGTGCTGCATAGGTACATAATATTATATTGCAGTCAAGGAAATCGTACAGTCGACAGAACTATGATTGGGAAAGGGATAGATAGATAGATAAGTCAGAAGGAACAATAATGAAACGCCACCTTAATCGGACCAAGTGTGATAGCTAGTATATGATATATTTAGAACAATAAAAGTTATTTAATAACAATAAATGTCCAAATTATATTAAATACAATAAAAATGTTACTAGAACCGACGTATAAAGGTAACCAGGCCATGTCATTACATTAAACGACTATTTCCAATAATAATATTATTAGATTAACATAATTATTCATCTAAGAATAATTACCAGTCATCTTTTCAGCCTGGATTCATTATTGGATAAATAGTAATAAATCAATCAGATATTAGTTGAACAAATCTGAGGCATTAAAGCCGTCATTAAAATTTATAACCACTATCTAAGTTCTACATTGATAATGTTAATAGTGTAAACGAAACGTGATAGCTTTTGTATCGAAAATAGATTAAAATCGATATATCCAACACAACAATGCATTTAAAAGTATCTTTCTTAGACACAATGTGTACTGTATTAGTAATGACTTTTGTTGTTTATTGCAGAGTTCGCGTGGAGTATTATGTCAACGAGAACACTTTCAAGGAAAGACTGCAACTCTATTTCATTAAAAACCAGAGATCCAGTAAGTATGAGTTTTATTTCGTATATTCGCAAGCAGCTCTCGTATGTATCTTATAGTAACAAATGAAAGAATAGTATTAAAAAAACTTAACATTACAGCATCATATTATAATGGCTAGCGGTAAACGTATCGTTATTAGCGTAACTATAATATTAGAAGATAGATTTACAAATTTAGTACATTGTCATAATAAATAACAATTAAATGCTAAAAATCGAATGCTGAAGTATCATTACATACATTATCCTTAATATAGGTACAATTCCCTAAAATAATTAGTAAATATATTGATTATAATAAAGTGATAACTGTATAATTATGTTTGGAATTGCACGTGACGACATGTGCACAGCGTTATAACGTATTATAGTTCAATCCGGATAAACTCTGCGCGTGACCGATTTCATGAGTACAGCTTTAAAAGAACAGTCCAATCCACTCAAATAAAGAGCGCGTGACTGATTTCATTTACAGCTCAAAAAACATAGTGCAATACTGACAAACAAATCCGCTATCCATGAAAACAATGACTGTATGAGTAGTGATGCATCACAATGTGCAATATTGGTTTTGCACCAGAAACGAAAATACAGTGTTTAACATAATATATACAATTGTGTTTTGTATAGTGATGTCTTTATATATGTATGTATTTTTTAACCGATAATAAAGAAAAATTGACAAGAAAAATGGAGATGCATTATAATGGTAAACTTTTTGTACTTATAATAATATATAGATTCAATAGATATTTCTTATGTTCCAGGTTTACGCATTAGAATTGCGAACTTATTCTTCAAACTATTGGCTTGCTTGCTGTACATATTCCGCGTTTGTGCTGACGGTGATCCCATTTTTGCCTCTTGGTAAGTAATATAATATATAATTAACATTTAAGGTTGGCAACATTTGGTTATTCGTATTCTGTCCGGTAGGCAATTCCACATAATAGCGACTTGCTCGAAACAAGAATTACGTTGACACAATGGGGCACTCTGTGATATAATATACAAAAATGCACCTAAAACCACATTGCGAGTTGGATTCGAGTTAAATATACCATAGTTTACAAACACCGAATGTCTAATTGTAATTCACCGGCGCCCTGATCTCCATCCAAACTAAAGAAAAGAAATAGGAAAATGTTTACCTTAATAATTGCGGCCAAAATAGAAAAAACATGATGTGGTGACCTGAACAGGAACAAACATTTTTTTCGTATATTATTATTAAGAGGTTAAAGAAAGGGGTCATAATATTTTTAACAATAAAGCAATACTACAATAAAGCAATAATAGTAAACCCTATTTCACATAAGTTAACTAGCTTTATTCAGTCAATAGTTATTATTGCTCTCTCAATTCGTTCTAAATGTCAGTTTGAGAAACAGACGTTTCGGTAATCGAATCACGTCAGTTACTGTGCCACCAAGTCCCGGAAGAAATTCCGCGTCTATTCGTAGTAAGTTGCCAGATGTTTGTAACTTTTATAAGTCTTACTTAGTACAGTTTCAGTTAAAATATCATAGTAATCCATTTTTATTAACTTTTCTTCTTGAAATTCGATTACGAATTGCGAAATCGTAAAATAATTACAATTTAACGTTGACGGTGATTAAATAAATCATTTCAACCCCTTTTCCACCTCTCTATGGATACAAATTCTTTACAAAAACAGTATGCAGTTTTTAAATTGAATAATGTATAAAAAATGCTTTCATAAACTTCCCTTCACAACGAAATCCATTTATCGTTATAGGTATTCGACAATATATACTATATTATTTTTTTGGGAATATGTGGAAACATGAAGCGATTTAACATAAAATTGAAAGTTTTCCATTAAATATAGTAAATAGAACACTGAATACTAAATGCCGAATTTTAGATTCACCCCAACCAATCCAATCAACATATACGTCCTCAGATAAAGGACTTATCAAAAATAACCTACTAAACGCTATTACATGGACGACTTCGCACACAAATTAAGAGTAGTCCTGAGACAAGACAAGAAGCCATTCGTAGCTGTTATTATTCTAGCTATTCCTGTACAGAAAAAACAAAGCATGTGGTGCAATTTTCGAAGTAAAAACTTTAGCCTAATTACACGTAAGGTAATTATCACTCAAAAGTGGTAATGTTTGAGACCGTGTACAAAACCATAGTCGTACCGACTATTCTTATCTATTTACGACGATTCCCACATTCCACCAGGTAGGCCACCGAGCCAACAATCAAGCGCCATTTACGATAGCACAAAATGTATTTTGAAACGAGCAAATCAAATTATACGCCCACAATATTGTCACGTTGTACACTGGAGACTCGGAAACTGTAACCTATTTCCAGCTTTTAAATAAAATTAAAACCTGAAGCGAAAATATTGTTATGTAGTCCCGATAATATTTCATATTTTTTTTAGCAATTTTACATCTTTTGTTTACCGTCAATAAATGTTACAACACTATTACTAGAACACTAATCATGAAATTCTTCTCATATTTTCCAAAAAGTTGCTGGATCGTTAAAATAATAGCTTGCTTCCGTTGCCCTCTCACGGAAAAATGTATGTATTAGATATCTGAAAGCAATGGCATATATTTTTATTATGTTAAAATATTCAATTACATTAACTATATACTATAATACTTACATTAACGTTCGATCACTTAATTATCTTTGTTTTATTACAGCTATGGCTGTATTCCCGGCAATAAAACTGAATTCGAATATTCTGCCAACTTGACTGAAGAAGAATTTCAAGAGCGTCCGATAATCAACTGGGACGGAATAATATGGGTGAACCGACCTCTGTATCTGTGGGTAGTACAAGTCGTATTGGCTATGATTTCCTTTACCGAAGCTATCCTTATGGCCTATTTAGGTTATAAGGTGAGGGAAACATTAAACATTTGAAGTAAATTCTTATACCTATATTTCTATGAATTATTTTTAATACCTTTTACTTATCCCATAGGGAAACATTTGGCAACAAGTACTATCTTTTCACTTCATACTGGAGATGGTAAACACGATTCCATTTGCGCTAACTGTAAGTATCAATACAACAAATTATATATAATTATAGACTTATCTACTAAAACTTTACTGTAACCGAATATTAGGCCGTAAAAGACATACAGACAGGCGAATGTATTGTTGAATCTATATTATTAGGAATGACTTAATAATGAATTTTAATATATACAATAGCAAATCTAACTAACAGATTATCTTGGTATATACATTTCGTGGATAATATATAATAAAACATGTTTAGAAGCGTTCCATATGAACACAGAAGATCACTGAGGTAAAGGAAGTCCAAAAAACATGCTAATAGTAGTTTATCAATTATTTTTTGTGTCACCATGGGTACATATTATATAGCATTGATTCATTCATCATATATTCTTCATTCAAATTTAAGAAAATAAATAAAATACTTTATGTTCACGAGTTTTAATATTTTTCAGCTGCCATTTCCACCGTTGCGCAACCTATTCATCCCGGTATTTCTCAATTGCTGGCTGGCAAAGAGATCTTTGGAAAATTTGTTTGTAAGTAAAATCATATAATTATTATATTACATATTTATTTATTTCTTCTTATTATTAACCTTTTATAACTTACTGTTTAAAAAATAAAACACCAATTTATACCTATACGACACCTCACCATCATTAATATAATAATAATAACCAGCAAAGACAATTCTATCACCTCATTAACAAAAGTATACTAAAGAGTATAAAGATAAGTAATAATAATATTAATTTTAATTGCATGGAATTTGGGTACGGCAAGATATTATTGACGTGGATCTCTGTAAATTAATATATTTTAAAAATATACTTAGTTATAAAGAATAAATCTTCATAATTCAATTAATTTTCCTAATACTGTACACAAATCCTAATACTATAAAAAAAACGATTTCTAATACACAGTACATATTTATAAAATCGCTACGTTCATATTTATATAACAACAAATTCACAAACATTTCGCTCAAGTCACACACAAGTGTTGGGTCGCCACTCGACTATACTCACATAACAACGAGCAACTGGCATTATTATCTGTAATCCGCAGTAATATTTTAACCCGTTTGTTACAATTTAACATAAAACCTGTTAAAACCGTATCTACTAAATTTATGTATTTTATCCTTAAAAAAAGTCTTATGTAGACCTTCTTCAATCAATCAATAGTGGTGCATGTGATACAATTTCGTAATGGAAAAGTGAAATATTATTATTCTGAATACACTAAATGAAAAGAGAAACAAGGTCACAATAGATTACTATAGATATTGAGGTGTTTCGTGTGGGTTTAGTTAGCAATGCGTATAGTAGGGGCGGGCGCGGCAAATACGCGCCGTGCCTTTATAAGCTTATTCGACAACAAAATCGACAGCGTTACGCAGCGTATAAAATCCCTTTTTAAGCAATTAATTGTATTCATACAGCAACAAGTCGAAAAAGTGTACCTTCTTCCCAAAATTTTGCGGATAAAAATCTTTACAAATTATTATAAAGATTGAAACTTTATAAAATCAATTACGTAGATAAACAGTTGTCTATCTAAATAATTGTATAATTGTCCTAATATACCTACTCTCCTAAACACTCCTTGTAAACGATATCCATCACGAAACTTTTATTTTGTTCATTAGACTAAATACTTGGTACTAAGACTGGACGATTAGTATAATCTTACCAAATTATAGTTGATATCACATAACTATAACATTATTTTATGTATTATTTTAGAATGACCTCCATCGGGCAATGCAGAAATCTCAATCGGCCCTGTCTCAACAACTGATGATCTTATGCGTTACTCTTCTCTGCCTCGTATTCACAAGGTAAGTCATATAACTATGGTTTACAACAAACATATACCATTCATTTAGTCATATCATTTATTCCTAAATTTTGACTACCCTGAACAAGGAACCTTGACATGTGTAATACATAGGCAATGGAAAAAATATATTATGTATAGTTAAATTGGAATAAAATAAATATTTATTTATCATATACCTATTACAGACTCTTATGGAATTCCCTTTTTTATTCCATGATCTAATGACGAGCCGGCCGTCCGTTTTATTTAAAGCGTATATAATAATAACAATAGTTTGACAGCTAAATACCTACACCCTTAAAATATTTATATAAGAAACTTAATAAATCCATTACCATATTATATGTATCCTTAATGGGAGCAAAAGAATGAGATCATCCCGAGAAAGTTCACTTCACTCAATTTATACAACCTTTTAAGGTTCTTTTTATTCTACACAGTTAACGGGTCTCTCTTATCATGATTGCGTCGTTGTAGGAAAAGAGCTTTTTAAAATAAATATTATAAAATATGTATATTGTAAACGTTTATAGAGTGAGTATTTATTAAAGATACGTGACAGATCATTGAGTGAATTGTTAAGGAAATGCAGGATAAGTGTTATTACGTTATGTTGTTTAAGAGTAAAAGAGGATATACATAATTTTTCACTTCAAACAAACGGTATTACTGTGCTAATCGTTAGATTTAATGAGGACCAGTCGCTCATTCTATTAATTGCTGATTTCTTTTAAATAATTTATTAAATATAATTAAACGAACCCATTCGTCTAATTCCATATTATTTCGTAATTTTAACAATAAAAAGCAGATTTCAGAAAATATATTAAACCCAAATCTTTTTTTCGATTAATTTATAATTCGGTAATGATAACGTCAATTATAGAAATCTTTATTCTTACATATATTTATAATATTTAATGTCGGTAAGTAGTAAATTATATAAAATATATAAGATGTGATTCTCCGCATATGTTTGTAATTCTACTGGTATACTATTTAGTAATTATTTAAATAAATACTTTTTTCATATATCTAATCCATTCCAAATTATTATCTCCACTAAATTCTGAATGATGCCCCTTCAGGATCAACATATGTTCTGAAGGATGGAGTAGGTATCATTATATGCATTAAGTCTATGATTGTAGAGAAGACTCAAAAAACAATTATCTAATAGATTTTATTAGATAACTGTTTTTTGAGTCTTCACTACAATAGTAACGAGAAATAAGATAATATAACGAATCAACTGATACAAATAGAGAGAAAGCCACAAGCAGCTTACTTAAAATGTAACAGTAACGCTGAATGAAGTAAATAATCTAGTAGGTATAATATAAATAGCATGTGTGCAAAACAAACTTTGTTAACAAATAATTTTAATATATGGTGTAATATATGTACATATTAAGGACTAGGCTCTTTACAATCAGCATATAAAAACTTCATATATCAGCATGAAAAGAGACCATCACTAAAATTTATAACTGTTAAATTAGGGTTTTCTTAAATGAATGAGGATTAGCTAAAAATATATACTAGAACTCACTTGTGCAAAATTACGCTGTCCTTTGACACAAATTAAAAAATTATAACCTCTTAATAAATGTAGCCATTACCTGGGACTACAGGGTCCCAATGACAACGAACGCGCCCAATTTTAATATGCGTAATTAAACACAAGAGACCAGTCGTGGCGACATGATTGAATACTTTTATTTAATTAAAGCCAATTTAAAATTAAATAATTTTTCGATAACATTGTATTGCATTGATTTAACGTTGTAAATAACATATAAATTTAAGTACTAATATCGCTATAAAAATAGGGGTTGGTGGTAGAAGGGTGAAAATTTAGGGTTGTATGTATTTTTTAAAACCAATGCATATTAAAATTTAAAAATAACGTCTAAAATTAAAAAAATTTTAGGGTTGGACAACCATTATCACTTAGGGTAAAAAATCGATAGTAGTCGATTCGAATTTCCATATAAAATTTCATAAAAATCGTTCAAGCCGTTTCAGAGGAGTATGGTAACTAACATTTTCTAACAAGAATTTATGTTATTTATTTAATTATAACTATTTATCACTATTTAACACTATATAGTTATAATTTTGAAAAAAGAATAATATAAAAAAATAACGTCGTAATAGCAATACAAGACAAATACAATTTACCTTCTCGTATATCATGTTATATTTTTAAATATCTTAACACAGTTTTTATAATACTTACCTTTAATAGTAGTAATTAGAACTTCAAAAAACCTAATCTGACGTAGACAATTCGTTTAAGTACAATTCTCATCTTCAGACATAGCTCAGTAGGTATATAAAATAATTAAATTAAATTTGTTAAAAAACTCCTCTATCTCAATTTCAGTGTATGCGGTATACAACACTTCCAACGCGCCGGACATCGGCATCTGAACCTCTTCCAAGCGATGTACTTCGTGGTGGTAACCTTTTCAACAGTCGGTTACGGTGACTTCGTGCCTGATATATGGCCATCTCAATTATTTATGGTTATAATGATAGGAGTTGCTCTTGTTGTGTTGCCAACACAGGTATGTCTTATTTATAAGAATAGTATTACCATCACAACTGTTATCCCAAATGAAGTAGTCAGAGGCATTATCAACTGTAAACGTTGTGGTGAACGCAACACTTGACGTGCCCATATTGCGTGAGTATATTTGAATCCAATGTGGCAGCCTACCGCAGTCACTCGGACAAATTTTACCTGTGTTTATATCAACAGAGAGTCAGAAATATAAAAGGACACACAATGTTTGTTGGTATTCATATTCACGACCTATGGACTACAGTGACGTTGTACACTACTAGGCCACGACTCTCATATTTATGATGTAAAGTGGACTCTATTCTCCGTAATTAGCCTCTCATTTGGCCTGTTGTGCGTGTCTCATATATATATATAGCATGTTTTATTTATGTGTGTATTAGTAAAATATTGATCAATTCTCATTACTAAATTCAAGTTCAAAATAGCTTTTTCCGATAGAAAGCTAAACTGCATTTGCTACATCTACTCAACTATGCCTATACATTGCTCTATCTATACCTTCTTATGCATCATATGTGACTGTCATTTGTGAATAGACATGTAACATATTAATTTTCCTGTTCCATTTTACACGCCGATTGAAGATGGCGCACCAAAGCAAACGGTCAAAGGTTAGGATTGAATTTGTTTTATTTTAATACTGATTTATTCGATTACATCATCATTATTTTTTATTTTAGTTCGAGCAATTGGCGTTTACCTGGATGGAACGTCAAAAACTGGGTGGTTCTTACTCTTCTCATCGTGCTCAATCTGAGAAACATGTCGTAGTATGTTCGACCACACTTCATGCCGATACCATCATGGACTTCTTGAATGAGTTTTATGCTCATCCATTGCTGCAAGATTACTACGTTGTGCTGCTATCTCCTATGGAATTGGATACCACCATGAGAATGATCTTACAGGTGAAAAAATGTGAAAACAACATTTGTACCATAAAAGTTAAAAGATAAAGACCTTTTTGTTCTGATCAATATTATTTATTTAATTTCAGGTCCCAATATGGGCCCAAAGAGTCATTTACATTCAAGGATCTTGCCTGAAGGACACTGACCTCATCAGAGCCCGCATGAACGAAGCCGAAGCTTGTTTCATACTAGCTGCTCGAAACTATGCTGACAAAACAGCTGCTGATGAACATACAATTTTACGGTACCTACCGTACATTCAAATTGTCTTATCTTTCATAGAAGTTGTTACGTACAGAAGCCCTACTTTTTTTTATAGCACGCAGATGGCAAACAAGCATACGGCCCATTTAATGAAAATCGACTTTTCCTTATCTCATGGAAATACTGATAGAAAGAAATGGACATATATACTTTCGTGTACTATAAAGTTTGTGTCTCGTTTCTACGACGTAGGCAAATATAATACGTCCCATCTGATGTCAAACGATTACCGTAGCTTATGGACGCCTGAAACACCAGAGGTGTCACGTGCTTGTTGCCTACCCTTAAGAAACCTTAATATACCCTACTTGTAATTGATACTGTTATAAATCTTTTTCGAAATATTAATTACATTTTCGCGGAAATGTACGCCTTATCCACTATTTCTAAGCAAAAAAATATAAATATGTGATATCTATTATTATAATAATAATAGCAAGACATAAGTAGAATACTAATTGCTTATATAAGTAGTAAGTAACTAGATAAGTAATATTTTAATGGTATTTTCTTTATTTCACTTAATCCAATAACAATTGTATTTCTAGATCTTGGGCTGTCAAAGATTTTGCTCCGGGTGTGCCGCAATATGTGCAAATATTTAGACCAGAAAACAAATTACATGTGAAATTCGCTGAATTTGTGGTATGCGAGGATGAGTTCAAATACGCTCTGCTCGCTAACAATTGCACATGCCCAGGCGCTTCGACCCTCGTGACTCTGTTACTCCACACCAGTCGAGGACAGTAAGTGTTAATGATAATATAAGTATAACTTTGACATGTACAAATATTTAATCCACATTGTTTTTTAGGGAGGGTCAACAATCACAGGAAGAATGGCATCGTCTTTACGGAAGATGCTCAGGAAACGAAATTTACCATATCGTTTTAGGAGACAGTCGTTTCTTCGGAGAATATGAAGGCAAAAGTTTTACTTATGCCAGTTTCCACTCTCACAGGAAGTCAGTAGCAAATCTTTAATTTAACTATAATATATATGTAATATCTATTTTTTTAATAATCCGTATATAATAAACATTTTTCATGAAGGTATGGTGTTGCTTTGGTTGGAGTTCGACCTGCTGAACTACCAGAATTTTATGAAGAAACGATCCTCCTTAATCCTGGGCCCCGTCATATAATGAAAAGTAGCGATACATGTTACTATATGAGTATTACTAAAGAAGAAAACTCCGCATTTGTTGTGTCCGATAAACAAACGGAAAATAAACCGACAATACCCAAAGATCAAACAGCATGTAGCCTGCTTTCGTCAGAGAAGAAAACTGGTGACGCAGAAGATGGTACAGGGGAGCAGAAAAAAACAGACGGTAGTAACGTCGCTCAATACGACCTCCCACAAGTGATTCTCGAAGCTCCCGCAAGTTCCACACCAAACGCATCGCCATCACGCATCAACCAAGCTAATATTGCATCATTCGCTAATATTACTGTCGCTAGCTGTGAGTGTCACAGTTGGATAAACGCCCAAGGTAGATCGAATACACAAACACAATTAACAGTGTATTCAATCTACTTTCACTTTGTACGATAAGTTGCAAATTTAATATATTTCAAAATGTTTATTTCACCATCACAACTCAACTAAAAGAATCCATTAACAACTTCTTTATAACTTTTAAAAAGTTGTTAATGCCAACTACAACGAAGTATATTTAAAATTCTGGTTTTGTTATTTCTTAGACAAATTTCTTTATAAAGAGCATTTCTTTGTAGTTGTAATTTTAAACAATACGTAACTATGAAATTAATGCATTGGAAATATTAAACTAACAGATAGCTGTCTGCAAAGTATTTTGTATGGTGAGTGTACTTCGGAAGATTAGTTTGGAAATTATTACTATAATCCACATAAAAGATTGAACTTCAATTCTATTTTTGCATGTTATTCTGTGTGTGATATTCATACATTTAGATGAAATTAGACGGGTGGTATACGACTTTGACATTTACATCACGAAATCAATCAACCGGTGCATTGTTTAACACGCTATATATATTGCAATGTCATAAAAATCTAGCATTACACAATTTTTAAAACTTTCAATGTCAAACTATGCGCCTGGTGCATTTAATCAGTCGTTTCATCAATGTCGTTGTACGTGTGCGTGTGCGTGTGTGAGTTTGATTTTTTAAATGTTATGCAATAGTCTTAAAATACAATATAACTTCATTTATTGTCACCAATGTCACGACATGACTTCATACATAAATCAATTTATTTACATATACGTAGAAAATTTAAAAGTATTTATAGAAAAAAAAAATGAAGTGCTGAATACCGTAGATATAAAGTAGCAACATGATAATGCACAATGTTGTAAAAGCAGAATAAAATAATCAAAAATTTAAAATATTTTGATTATAATAAATCGAATTTATTACAAAATATAATGTTAATGTAAAATTTATACAGCTAAATACGGCGAAGGAACGTCTACATCCGATTCTAGGACCTGCCTAAAAGATTCCCCTGGAACTGACAGCGCTACAGATAGCCATTTGCTATTGCCGAAACAGGACAATACTAATTTCCTGAGTCCGGACTCTTTGAGTTATCGTAGAGGTAAATTATAAAATGGTTACAAATAATGGCTTAAAAATCCTTATTGCAAGTATCTCTTGAAGCACATTAGGAAACTCCTGTTCACAGGAAGCAGAAGACCATCAATTCTGCCAGTACCTGACATGGTTACAAGCAGTCTTAACATTGCTTCTGATAATCAGGATGAAGAAGTCGAAATTGATGAAAGTGAAGATGAATTGGAGGATGACGTACCATGGAGGTCACCCTCAGAAAAAATAGCGTAAGCACATCATCAGCATTAGCTTCAATTGCATCTCACGTGCATGCAAATATTATTTCTTTATATTGTCATTCAGTATTATAAATTTTTTTATATTGAATAGATGTATTTTTTTCTATATTTTCATCTATATTTTATATAGTCTTAGTCTGAGTACAACTATGAACGATTTATTTATAACCTTTCACTTTCGCTGATACTTTTTCGATGTTAGCATTTTATACACGAATGTATTTTTATTTCATATCGTTAAGGCTTCTTTCCAAATTAGGAATCATTGCAAGTCTTTAACGATATTCCGTTTTTATTTCTTGTTGTTTTAGCCTGTACATTGTCTCCCATAGATAGATGACCGGGATCACGTAAGCTGCATGTCAACCGCACAATACCTTCGTCATTGTTACATGTAAGTGTTTTGCTTAGCTTTTAATTTCTGCATTGCTTTATTCATGGAATACATGCTTATCAATCATAACTGAAATATATTTAAGTAGGTAATACAGATAAATAGTGGACAACCACGGTGAATTTTATCAATATTACAATTAAATAAATTTATTTTATTATATTTCAGTCTTAGACTTCATTAAAGGTATATACTAGTTAATGGACGCGAAATTATAGGAATTAACAAAAGAATTAAAAATCAAAAAATGGCGGATCGAGTAATTTTAAGTTTTTTGGTTTACTTTCTGTATTACCTATATCTTTCTATTTCTTAACCGCTTCATATGATTTCAATTCTGAAAAATATATGAGACGAAACACATTAGAAACGATATTTACGTTACTATCGTTTTTGAGTTTACCATGTTCTAAAAAATATAGAATGGGGTCAGATTATGGAAAACCACAATAATCTCAACTATAATTTTTGAGATACAGACTCCCCTTTCTTTATGTGTTCTAATATGTTTCGACTACGTACCTACGCAAATAAAATACACCACTATATTTATTTAATATAAATAGTCAATGTATCGTAAATATGCACAAAATTCAGCTTCCCCAACCTATTCCGAATTAGCGAACACTACCATTTAAATACAGATACTCTCTATAAATATCCCTTAAACAATTGTGTACATGTATCTGTATAAAACCCTGAGCGTAAATCCCAACCGCACGGCCCGTAACCCTGCCTTCAGTGATGACGTCACGACCAGCAGCTTCTCTTCGCTGGCAGGCAGTGACGTCGCGCACAGTGCTTGGCGAAATGACTTTACCAGGTGAGCTTTAATTACAGGTAGACATATTTTGCCGATGTCAAAAGAAATGTTTAAGAGTTGCACTATCATTACAAAACTTAAGACAATGTCCTGAAACCATAAAAAACGTATTTCATTTATCTGAACATCGACACAAGTGTGTCACCTCCATAAGAGAATAAGTATACTTAATTAATCCGTTTATAAAAACAATATTAAAGTTTTTGTCGCACTTTTTAGGTATGTGATATCAAAAATGTGCCAACAAATATCGATACATCTTAAAAAATACATTAGAAACATACGACAGCAAGTTAAGTTTATTAAAATTATTGATATAAAACACGCGTTATCACAATTACAATACACTACATGTGTGGCAGATGTCTCGAATTTTTAAAGTACATATTTGTGCCTTTTTCGCTGTTGATCAGTACTCTAAAATTTCTCGATATCAGCCGACATAATAGTTTTAGTGAATATATAAAAGTATAATTTGAAAGGAACACTGTTTTAAGATAATCAGACTGATGTTTAAAGAAGCAGATCAGTGTTGCAAATTTGAATTAAGGTAATGTAAACTATCGTATATTTAGTTGTGCAATATTACTTCAGTTCTTTATCATACTGCGTGATTAACTAGGTTTGTCTCTTGCACATGCCCCTGATGGTCGTCGAGCATGTCAACTTCCTTAATTTGATGTTGAATGTTAGAATATTAACAGCACCGACTATAGATTTTATCACAACTTCTAATGTGTTCATTTACTTACCTCCAGAAGATACCCTATATTATATGTATACCCAAAGGCAACGATATTTTATTAGATCTTTCCTATTTTTAAATAATAGTAGTTATTAATTCTCATATATAAAATATAACCAGCTTCTGGTCATAAATTATTCTACTTTTAATAAAACAGTACTAAGCTTTCTTTCGTTTTACAGCATAGCTTGTTTTATTTTTATGACCATAAAAAATGAAGAGTTTTACAGGATCGTCAAGGGATTTCCGCCGGTGTCACCATTTATTGGAGTTAGTCCAACATTGTGCTACTTATTAAAAGAGAAGAAGCCGCTGTGCTGTTTACAACTGGCTCAAGTGTGTGAACATTGTTCATACAGAAACGCCAAAGAGTACCAATGGCAAAACAAGACCATTATCCTTGCTGCTGACTATGCCTCAAACGGAATTTACAATTTCATAATTCCATTGAGAGCACATTTTAGATCAAAGACTTCACTGAATCCTATTATTTTGCTGCTGGAGCGCAGACCTGATATCGCATTTTTGGATGCAATATCATACTTTCCATTGGTTTATTGGATGCAGGGCACCATCGACTGGTAATTATGAAGCTACTTAAGTAACTACGTATTTTAATTGATTTATTCTTACTAACTTTATTTTATTACAGCTTAGATGATCTTCTGCGAGCAGGAATAACATTAGCCGAAAATGTGGTAGTGGTCAACAAAGAACTATCAAATTCAGCTGAGGAAGACAGTCTGGCCGATTGTAACACTATAGTGGCCGTACAAACGATGTTCAAGTAAAATATTTTTATATTTTTAATAAAATATTTATAGTTAATATTTAAAATTATAGAATGTCTTTGCGAAATATTCATCGAGCTAAATTGGCGACTGTCTCATATTAATTTAATTAAATTAATTTGCAATTGCGAATGGCGTTCGCTTAAAAAATATTTCTTGGTTATAAATGTCAATCGTTTCCTTTGCAGGTTCTTCCCATCGATTAAATCGATTACGGAACTGTCCCAGTCATCTAATATGCGATTCATGCAGTTTCGGGCTCACGACAAATACGCATTACATCTCTCCAAAATGGAAAAGGTTCTCAGAGTTATGAAATATATATGCATAATAAGAACGATTAGAACAAAATAATTGACGTTCTGCCTTTATTATTTTTACAGCGTGAGAAGGAACGTGGTTCTCACATCTCTTACATGTTCCGACTGCCGTTTGCAGCGGGGTCTGTGTTCTCCGCTTCTATGTTGGATACTCTGCTATATCAAGCATTTGTGAAGGATTATGTGATCACATTTGTTCGTCTTTTATTGGGAATCGACCAAGCTCCAGGATCAGGATTTCTCACTTCGGTAAGTGCATTTAATTTGTTTCTTCATACATTAGTAACATTATATGTAACTTAGCTGATAATATTTGCGAATTTTAGTATATTTATAATATCTTTGTAACATATTTTAATTTCCATTCCAGTAATAAAAATTAACTTATTTGCGAATGTTAGTTATTGTCAATAACGTATTGCAATTGTGAAGCACGCGTACTTTAGGTTTTATTTTTGCAACTAATATATGTTTGGCCTTAAAACAGATGAAAATTACGAAGGAAGACATGTGGATTCGTACATACGGTCGGCTTTATCAGAAATTGTGTTCAACAACTTGCGAAATCCCAATAGGGATCTATCGCACACAGGACACAACATTAGCCGACGCGTCTCACCACGTGAGTATGTCGCCACGGACTCCATCCAAATGGTTTTGGTCACGCCTCGCGAGAATGCGACCATCGCGTGCATCGGTGAGTCGAGTAACTCCACTGTACTCTACGATATTTCTTTCCTTAAATACAGTCCTTTACGCGTACCTTAAAGCGGTATTGAACGATCTACACACCACTTATGTAAACTATTAAATTTACAAATTACATACTGCGAATTTAATGTCGTACTATGAAGGAGTCCGAATCTCTGGACTGTATTTCGGGGTTAATATTTTATTTTTTCTCTTTATCCCGCGTCAGCGTTACACTTTTTCCATTATTATGAACTGTTTACATTATATACATTTTGAGCCTCACACTTGTGGCGTGTCTGTAATTAGTTAAAGCATTTATATGACTTTCTATTTTTTCACGCGATACTTGGTTTTGTCTTATAAAATACACGTGCTTTAATATTATCATTTACCGCATACTGCTATAACCAAAAAGGTTAATCTAAATCTTGCTTTGGCGTGGACACATTTGAATCCAAAGATTAAAATTGAATAATATTAATTGTCAACGGCTAGCAAAAGTCAAGGTAATAAACTATGGGAACCATCGATAAGTTTATCCGTAACTCGATGATCGCAATCCCGCCTCCATGTTATCTATGTAGTGTGTGTTTTGCATGTTCTGTCTTAGAGAAGCCTGAAACCGTACAATATTGCTACATACTAACTAAATAACTAATAATTAATAAGAATTAATTTAAAAGTCATTAAAACAAGTTTAAAAGAATATAGAGCCATTGCAGTTTTCTATGTATAGAACTGGATTGGTATCTATTACACTGTACTCGTAATCTTAAAAATGACAAACGCAATATTATAAGTATTAAATACATTAGACTGTCGCAACTGCTTCTGCTTATTGCATGCTTATTAAATTAAATAGTGATAGTACACTAGAATTCATTATTCATAACAAACAACTTAATTATACACAATCTCCTTTTGCTGATTCTGGAGAAATTTAAGAAATGAAAACAGTTTACGTTAATTTGATTTCAAACAAAATTTATGAAAGTAAAATTCAGGCCAGTCTATGGTATATTATTTTGAGCTATCGTCAGTGTTTTATGTTGCTAAGTGTTAATCGGAAATACGAGAAAAACACTGAGACAAAAGTTGCAGCAGGACGAGGGAGAACGCAGAGGTTTCCCGGCGTGCGGCCGCCGCAGCCGGGAGGCCACTAGCTGCCTCGGCGGTTGCTACGGGGATCGCACGCCGGTGGTAAGGTCACACTATCAAACTGTATCGCAATCCATCGTTCAATCTATTAAGCATTTCAATCCTGCATAGCATGCAGCGAGCTCAATAGAGTCAACGATAGATTCATACTCGTGATTCAACTCCTAATACTCTGAGAACTTTTACTAATTACTTACCAATACCATCGTGGATACCAATACTTTATTCAGTGATGATTCTAATTGGACATAATATGTATTAATTTACTCTTCCCAAACGTAGGGCAATAATTTATTTTTGTCATTATTAATAGTAAACTAAAAAGTAGCTGTAAAATTACTTTTGTTACTGTGTTATGTTTCTATTAACAAAATACAGAAAAATGTGTTAAGTATGGATTTACAAAATAATTCATATGAAAAGATAAAACTACAATAACCAATTGCACTTTGCCTTATTTATTTCTTGTATTCCTTTCTTTGTGAATATGTGATAGAATCTACATTGGCTGCTCGTGTGTTTTGTCATTTTCTTTCAAATCCACAAGTTCTATTTTTTGTTCCGAGAAAGGTCGATGACGACCAGTGGCTCGAAAGAATCTTACGAAACAATCCAGTATCTAATATAGATTGACTATGAGATTTACTGAACTGTTTATAAAAGGGAGAATTAAGATGTTATTTTCCAGTTTCTTTAACTCTATACTCCACATAGCGTATGTAGGTCCACAATTTTATCTGAACATTAAGAAATATTACCCGATATACTATAATATTAATTAATATAAAGTATTTTATATTAGTAAAGATGTATGACATCATATTTTACATACAATAAAATTATAGGTCAGCTATGTATATTAACCAAGGCATGCAATAACGAATCTTAAAATACAGTAAAAAAAACGTTCTACTCATTTCAAACAAACCACAAAAGAACTAACCTAAAGTACTTTCGACATAAAAACTATTTCCGTACCATTATCGATCTCAGATGAGACGATATAATCGTCTTTTCTAGTTCATTTTAGAATATTTTTTTTTAATTTATCGCCAAGTAGGTACACATAATACAGCTACCTTAACACAATTTGTAACTATAGACCGTAGTATTAGTAGTACTGTAAATAATATATAATACATTACCTACACTAATACCCTTGAAAACCGTAGACAAAATCCTACATTGATATATGTATTTATTATTTAGAGAATATTTAAACTGCTATTATTAGTTCACATTATCTCACTTAAGTTCACTCATAAATCATGCAAGCTGAAACTTAAGCAATCCGTGCATGTCCTTAAGTTTGTATAGAGGTTACGGCAATAATATGTAATATTTAACTTATAAAACAATGTGTAACAATAAATATTACATGTTGTTGTCGATGGCTACACGACCTATAATCTTAATCGAATAATTTGAATTGGCAATGCGTTCACAGTATTCTACAAGTCTGGCAGATGAGGCACGAGATAATCATGCACAACAAATTGAACGAGCTGAAATAGCTAATCTGGTACGTTCAAGAATGGAATCACTGAATCTTACTGGCATAGATTATGATGACGTCAGCGAGAAACGCAATAGCCTGTCGTACGTTATTATCAACCCCAGTTGCGACCTAAACTTGCAAGAAGGCGACATCATGTATGTATCAATACATAAGATTGCAAATCGAATACTTCAAGTATTATTAAATAAAAATGTTAATATGGATTAATAATTTGGTTTCACAGTTACCTGGTTCGCCCATCGCCATTTTCAGCACAAAAAACGTTTGAGCGTCACAACAGCCGCCGCAAGTCGAACATCAGCTTCTGTTCACAAAGCCTTGCACAGTCGCAAGGTGCTTCCAGCAGACGGGGCTCCGGTTTCAGCCAAGGTCGTGCTCCTCCACTGTCTACTACCAAAGCCAACTCGCTGTCTTTACCTGACAGTCCAACTATTGTAACCGATTTTCGTGGACGCTCGAACTCGCTTCGCGTTGCTGATGATATATTGCTGCGACGATCCAATTCTTTGCGACAAGGGATTAGTGGTGTCGGCTCTCAACGTCGTAAGAGCAGCCTCGAGGAAATTGGAATTTCTCATTTCAATTCTCTATTACAACATCAACAACAACAGCAACAGCAAAATGCAAACGCCATAAAATTTGCGCTTAATGGCAGTATTGGATTGGAAGTGACACCGCCGGAGGAAAATCCTTCGGATCGCCTACCAGGGCCGAGTATGCCGCTCAGTGGGTACCAGGAGGTGGCTGCTGCCCTTCCGTCTACTTCGATGGGCCCAACTTTGCCTCCGGCACAGGCTGCAGATCCGCAACATCTGCAGGGAACTATAGTATGATACCATCTTATGTGGGGACGACGACTTAGTTCCGTAGTTAGGAACAGGTGGACGTAGAAAGCATGAAATATTCTAATATATTATTCAATTTTGAAATATTTACTTCTGTAATAATTTCGGATAAATGTATTAATTGTCCACTATTAGACGGAACTATTTTCAATCTTGTAGCGTCTCTACTTCGCACGTAGTATCTAATACTTGTAAATTTCCAAAAACCAGTAATATATCTAGGATGGAGGTAAAAGAGCTGTGTAATGTAAGAGGGATCAACTAGTTACTATGTAAAAGGGGATTTATCAGCTTAATGCTGTATGTATATACTGGAGCTTTACTGCGATGTGCTACATCAAATTTGTATATAAAATCTATCTCTTAAAGATATACAAATTGTTATTTGTAAATATCTTACTTACTTAAGACAATGTTATACTAAAAATTGTTAGATACCTACCTAAATACTTTTCTAGATCTATTGACCAACTCAATATTATTGTGTCACTTCAATTTCAACATAGATTCAGTAATTTTATCTACATGTATGTTAGATTCGATGGAAATGTCAAATTTTAATTCACATAGTGTCAAAGCAGTTAATCAAATAAATTCATGTAATGGCATCATTAGTTTTATTAACGACATTATTACCATATTATAACCACTCGATATATGCTGAATGGGGTCACTAAATGATCTTAGGAACATTATAATTTGCTCGCTAAATATAATTGTAAATGCAAAATATTTATAATACTGTGGATTGTTACCTATAAATATGATTACCATCAAAACGAAACTAAGCTTACAAAGCAAGACTGTAGACATTAGAGATATGGGAGGCCAGAAATTTCATGCAAATACTTTTGTACAAAAGAGTTGTTACGCTCTGATAAATTATTGTATATGGCAATCGCAAAAACAAAACCAATCTCCTAAAATTACTGTATGCATTACCATATAAAATTGAAAAACACGCATTCTTAGTTCTTGACAAAATAGATAAAGGCGGTATAGACGGTGTAGACGAGCCACATGTTGCCATAATTATCATTATTTCCATACACGACTATTACTGTTCATTTCAATTGAAAAAAAAATATAGTGTATATAGATTTTTTACTGATTGTAAGTGGTAATTGTCGCCTTATATAAAAATAGAACATGGTATTATTATGTGATGCCTGTGATACCTTTCACTCATACATTGCCATTCAAGAGGATTAAGATTAATTTCTCTGCCTTATCCTCACCCTTTAATCGAAATATTATGCGAAAATGACGTGCTTGGTGGCTGAAATAGAAGAGACTGGCGTATACCCACATACAGATGCGCTCTATGTCTGTATCAATATGAAATGTACGTGATTACCTGGTAAAAAAATTCAAAACTTAACAACCTACATAATTAGTGACCACAAGAGTAATATTGTAAATGTAGGAATAATCAATATATATATTAAAGTGAAAGAGGATGCTAGTCCAATTAATAATACATAGACTATTCCACTTATTTTGCTTAGAATATATTTTTTTATTACTAGTCGTTGAACTGCCACTTTAAAAATGTACTCTGCTAACCATATAGCATATCCAATATCAAATTAAAAGGTAATACGCCTTCGACATGCATATTAGCAAAGTAGTCAAGTTTATCTTAGTTAATCATGTATTTCTTTCGTTTTGTTGCGACAATGATAGGATTTTGTGTTATGAAGGTAAGCTTTGAGATTTGAGAAGTCATTACTTGAAAACATTTATATAAATTATAACATTATTTTAAAGCGTAATCAAGAATTAAAATATACGAGACAACTATATAGCAAAAAAATGACATATATGCTAATAGACACTCCAATAAATGACACAAATCGAAATATTACTTTGTAGAAAGTTGTCTGATTAGAACAGCAGATTTTAAGTTATATTTCGGATATATGGCAATGAAATTACAGTCTGCGGAGCCAGAAAATCTTAGTCTCCAGAACGACAGCTCATGAAGGTACCATAGGCGTTACGTATTGATGCGCTTGATTATCAGCTTGTTTGTCAATTCACTGATATACCAAGAAATTATCGTTGTAATAATGACTGGTCCACGTTGGTGGGTCGCTATAATGACATATAAATTATTAATTATTAATAATTTTTAGTGATATATTTTCCAGCATTCAAAATATTGCTGAAACATCGATTTTTTTATTTTCAGTCGTCTATTCTACTATTAACTGACCTTGGTGTCACATGCAATGTAAGACTAGAATAAATAAAATAATTACTCAATCATACCTACGTATTATATTTTACCAATTCAAGTTTTTATAGTAAAGTCAATTAGTTTTTTTTCAGTCCCCGAACAGTTTGCCCTTTGAAGAGTGAGACATAAGCAAATTCAGTTTACTGGCAATATACCATCAGGAAATGGTATCTTTTAAAAAATAAGCATTAATGATCCGGAAGTTATTAAATTATAAAATAAAAAAGAAAAAGGAATTTTTAAATCAGAAATTTTACTATATGAAGCTATACTAAAATTATTAATTATATAACTAGAATAATCTTTAATAGTCAGTTTTACATTGTCATAATCTATACCTACTTTATATTATACTATTTTTCAGGAAGATTCGAGAAATTGTACGGCAAAGGTTAATATTATAATTATAATTATATAGAGCAGCTGAGATGTAAATTATGCAATCTATTGAACTTTATAAATAAATTATCTGTTACAAGTACATAGATTAAGTATATTATCCAACATAAGTATTATATCAATAACATATTCTTTCAGTGTAAAGGGGATGACTGTCTTGCAAATGTAAGATAATTAATTATTTGTACCCAATGAATCCATTTATATTGACTATGGAGAAATTATCAATAAGTGCAGCATAATTTTAGATTTTTAATAGACTAAACCATGAAATCTTGAAGATTATGATCAAAAAACTGAAGTAAGATTAAATTACCTACAAATTATAAAAAACAAGTAGTTGTAGAACATACTGGTTGACATAGCAAAACAAAAATAAACTAATCCTATCATTTGAGTATATCTACTGAATATAGTTAATTCCAAACATTTTAAACGCCTGATCTTAGGCATAGGATACAAGAAATATATCATCACCACTTCTTACTAATGCCACAGATAATATAATATTACATACTAATACTAATGATTTGGACAAATGCATTTGATATATTATTACTTATATTTCAGTGCACAGGCACAATGTCATCGGCATTAGTAAGTTAAACTTGTACATAATCTATATGTATGTCTAAATCGACACTCCATACAGTTTTTAGAAACAAAAACCTTGAAATAACATGGTTCTAATCGAATGTCAGCCATTTACAACGTAAATTAAAAGGTATACTCAAAGGAGATCCTATGAAGGAAATTCATTTATAACTGATCGTCAGTGAACATCCTGTCACGGCATTTCAGGAAGTACCTTAAAAGCGAACTTCCGCCTCCTACTCTCTTTGCTCCAGCAAAGCAAACTATAATATTTTGTATTTACTTATAAAGAGGGAACGAAGTAAAAATAAATATGTATACAGACAAGAAAAATACAAAGACCGATTTAGCTGTTCTGTTAATCGTAATCTATAAAACAATGTCTTTTTTTAATACGAGCCGTAGAAATATAAACTGCCTTAATTAGTGCAGCGACTACATTAGACTGACATTTCAAAAGTGGGCACTGCCCATCAAAAAAGATATATGGGCAGTACCCAATATATTTTTTATTTCTTTCCATCAATATTATCGATATTGCTATTTTACAGCAGTTTATTAGCAGATATTATAGTATATATAATTTTTAACATTCTAGGCGCTTGGATTCAATTCTAAAGCAATGGTAAGTACTTATTTGTCGAATTATAATAAGAAGACGTTTTATTTATTAATATTACGTTATATTATTATTATTAATAAAATACTTACCTTTTATTAAAAATTGACTACATTGTTTTGATTTGATAATAAAATATCTTTACGAAAAAAATATATTACGACAGTATAAAAGGATCTAGAGTTGGTGCGGCTCATGATGATGGTAAATTAAAGGCGTAGTAGAAGATTTACAAGAATATAATATAGTAGGTTAAACAAAGAAAACGTCATTTGTACATATAATATTCTTATTTATCAAATATAATTTATACTGTATACATAAATTATTTGTGACTTATGTTGATACAAATAAATATATTTCAGGTATTTGGGGACTTATCTATAGGAGAGGTATATTCATTATTTGTATATAAAATATTAATAGAGATAAAAGTAAATATAAGATCATAAAAGAATGTCTAATCATACATGACCTTTAAATCCTTACATTATTTCAAAAATATGATTCCGGTCATATAAGCAAAATATTACGTTAATAATTACAGAACTAACAAACTTGTTAGCACCTATACATACCCGGTTCGGGCCCCTATTAAAGTATTATCTTATATATAAATTTCTCGTGTCACAGTTTTCGTTCCCATACTCCTCCGATGCTCATGAAATTTTATAAGCGTATTGAGTAGGTCTGAGAATCGTCCAACATCTATTTTTCATTCCCCTAAATGTTAGGGGTAGTCCACCCCTCATTTTTTTTTTATTTTAAGGCAAAACAACCTTTGCCGAGACAGCTAGTAGTAGATAATATTAGAATCAGTACTTAATAATCAAATTTCTTAATGGCATCTGATGCGTATCTAAAAACATAAAATACTAGATCACCTTGATACTACCTATATGCAATAATAAATTCTATGATTTTAACATTATGATATTCCTATGTACATAGTACGTAATGAAATTCATAGGTAGTTATTTTCCAGTGCTATGGACCATTTTGTAAGGGAATTGTAAGTTACATTATTATCGATATGCAGTAGCTAAATGTTATGTGTTTTATCTTTATGTTTACTTTGGATTCCTTTATTTTTATATAGTGTGATGGTGTCATGAACATTTGCATGTCTAAGGTGAGCAATAAATATATACGTAAAACAAAGAAATAAACTACTCACCTCGTGCCTGGAATATAATAAAATATACAGTGATATAATAATATATCCTATAAAGTAATATAGTAATAATAATTCCTTAATTATGATATTCATGGTAGTATTATTTTATGATATAAAATAAAAGCAACTCTAGTAATGGCCATTACTAAAGTAGCTTTTGTTGTAGCGAATATCTTTTATATAAGTAAATAAAGACATTAAAAATAGAGGAAATTGTACATGAATATTCAAATTAATAATACTCGCTTTCGTAATTACTTATTTATTTCTGTCTGATTATTATTAAGTTAAAAAACTAAGTGTCTCTTAGTAAGCACTAAAACTAGGTACTTTTTTGAGTCTCGTAGATAAAGATACAGGACAGCATTTGAAGTGAAAAAGAGAATATATATTAGTGGCACCTGTTAATTTATTACTGCAATATGAAGCAATATATATAAATAAAACTACTTTTCATAATATCGAATGTGTGTACTGACACACTGTGGTGAACTGTCACCAGGTTGTTCTTGAAGTAGGTATAAAAATTACATTTGTGGAGAATATTACTATTAGAATAGAATAGAAT